CAATAATGCACTTTCACAGTAGGGGTGATGGAGGAGCGTGAGTGGTTCAAGGTCAGGTGCTAAGGATGCAGGGCCAGGGTCTGCATGGGTCCTGGTGAGTCAGTTAACCCTTTGAGCCTCAGTTCCCTCCTCCATAAGGTAGGTGCAGCCCGAACCCCCAGCCCAAAGTCCGGAGGAGCAGATGAGGTCAACCGGGCCATGTAGGTTTGTTGGGGGTTGACGACTGGGGAGACAGCAAAGCCATGGGACAGGAGGGTGGGTAAGTGTCAGGACCAGGGGGCTGCCGCTCGCTGCGTGGCCTTGTTCTTAGTCTCCCTGGGTGCCCACTTCCTCATCTACAACGTGGACTGACTTCATAAGGTGGTTGTGAGAATTAAGTGACAAAAACCCATCAGGGGCTTAGGGCCATGCCTGGCACATGCAAATTGTTCTGATATCTGGAAACTGAGGCCCAGGGAGGTTACATGACTTGCTTGAGGTCTCAGAGCCAGGGAATTCCCTCGTCCAGTGGTTAGGACTCTGACCCAAGGCTGGAACCAAGATCCTCTGACCCCAGACCAGGGCCCATCCCACCCGGCTATGTGATGTTGGCCGAGGCCTTGGACTTCTCTGTGGGGGACAGTGGTCAAGGCGAAGTCTCCTAGGGCCTCAGGAGCCAAAGGAAGCTCACAGAGTCAAGCATGCTCATGATGGTGGGGGAACCGAGGTTGGGCAAGGGGAGAGTGGAGAGCCTGGTGAGAGCCTGGTCCCTCTTTGCCCAGCGGGATTCTCGCTGCAGCACTGCCCCTGTGGGTGAGGAGAGACCCCACCCCACCCCCCGCCACACCTCGTGCTCAGAGTTAGTGTTAGTCACTCAGCTGTGTCTGGCACTTTTCAACCCCATGGACTATAGCCCGCCAGTCCATGGAATTCTCCAGGCAGGAATACTGGAGTGGGTTGCCATTCCCCTCTCCAGGGGATCTTCCAGACCCAAGGATTGAACCGGGATCTCCAGCATTGTAGGCAGATTCTCTGCCATCTGAGCCACCAGGGAAGATGTGTCTCACGCTCAGAAGGGCCCCGTAAAATCCCTTACTCTCCAGGCCCACAGCCCCCAGAAGCTCAGAAGCCGACAGTTAACCTGTACTGTTCTCTTTACACGACAGCTGTGGCCTCCCATTGCCTGGGCGCTCGCTGGAGGTGGGGGTCTGCTATGCTGGAGTCAAGGGACATCTCTCTCTGGTCTCCATCTCCCAAGAGTCGTGTTTGCAGAAACAACTGGGGCTTACGCCCTCGCCCTGCCCTGCGTCTGGGTTAGGAACTGTAGGGTCCCGAGCCAGGGAAGGAGGAAGGAATCTGCTGTGGAAAGGCAGAACTTGGGAGTTTGAAAAGAGTGATGTCCCCAGAAAAGCACCATGGTCTTGGGCCACACCTGGGCCCCTGGTTGCACGCTATAGCTCATCCTCGATGCATCCAGCCTCAAGTTAGAAAAATCAGTCCCTCCCCACACACCCGCCCTCCACCCTGGAGTCCCTACATTCCCAGGAGCCCGGTTGGTTTCCCTCAGGGTTTGCCAGGCATGACATCACCCATCACCATGGCAGTGGGTCCGATGGCCCAGCTGCTGGCTCGGGACACACCTGGGTGAAGCTGGGTGGTGGAAAAGGAGAACAGAGCACTGGGGAACTTGGGGAGGAGGCAGGAGGCCGGTCTCAGAGAGAAAGACCGTCATTCATGCTCACAGAGCATCACCTGTCACCTCTTGCGTTAGGAACGTTTAGAGAATGTCAAACAGTTATAAAGGAGAAATAAAAATATGCTTATGACGAAGGAAGGAAGGACACCTCCCACTGTGTAATTTTCATAGCTGTGTGTCTGTAGTTTATATTATTGCTTGGGGAGTCTGTCAGGTCAACCTCCCTATTTCCCTAAATAGTTACAATTCTGGTTCCCCCTTTAGGGGAGGCCCCATCTGTTGGGGTGACAGCACCTGGATGCACGGGCATGTTCAGGCTTAATGGGGAGACACACCCCTACTTTCCCACCTCAGGCCAGCACAGGCATCCCCAGGTGCCCCCAGGTCCTGCTCCCCTGTGTGAGTTCCCTTGAGTAGGTTGTAGATGTGCTTCTGAAAAGCTGAGCGAACAACATGGCAGCTTCTTGGTTCTCACTGTGGTTCCAGAGGCATTTTGTCTTCATTTGTAAGTGGTCTTCACTTGGCATTCATTCCAAGAGATTCAGCTTCCGTGTTTTCTCGATCCTCAGCCTGCCAGGGGTCCAACCCAGCGTCGGGCCCAGCAGGCCTGGAATTCCAGCCCTGCTGACTTAAGTTGCTGCTCTGGCAAGCTGGCCATGAAGGTGACAAGTCCAGCTGCAAGAGCCAGGAAGCTCAAAGCTGTAATTTAAAGCCCGCCCCCCACCCCTCCCCCTCCTCCCCCACCCCCCGCCATGGACCTCCCTGATGGTCCAGTGATGTAGAATCCACCTGCCAATGCAGGGGACACAGGTTCGATCCCTGGTCTGGGAAGATCCCACATGTCGCAGAGCAGCTAAGCCCATGCACCCAGCTGTTGAACCCGTGCTCTAGAGCCCGTGAGCCACAGCTGCTGAAGCATACGTGCACCCCAGGGCCTGGGCTCCACAGCAAGAGAAGCCACCACAATGAGTAAACCTGCTTGTCACAAGTAGACAAAGCCCACATGCAGCAAAGAAGACCCAGACATTAATTAATTAATTAATTTTAAAAAATTAATAAAGCCACCCCCAAGACCCAGAGTCCCTACTGCAGGGTCTCTCTGTGTCTCCTTGCACGTGCCAATGCTGTTCCAGCCAGCCTGCCTCTGCCGTGTTCTGCAGATGGTGCTGGGCTGGGGGAGAGGGGTGGAAATGCAACTCACGTCAGGCTCTGAGCCAGAGCACGGGGTCCCCGGTCCTTACGCCATGCTTTTTCGTATCAGAGGCTGAGTTTGTAGGCTCAGCATCCAGGATAAGATGGGGGGTCACCACCATTGCCTGCCCCATATCACTGCCCTAAGGTAGCCATGGAGCCAGGACCCTCTGGGATTTGGGGGGGGCTTCCCTGTAGAGGCAGCCTAAGGTCAGGTCAAGTGTTCAGACCTTGGGGTCAGATGTGGCTGTATGACTCTGCGCCTTCAGAGGCTGGAAGCTTCCAGAGCTGAGGAGTTGCTTTGCCCCCTTCCCACCACCTCCACAGTTCCTTCCTCAGTGTTCTCTCCACAGAGCGGGGAGGGGACAGAGTTCAGGGGACCCTGGAAAACTGGGGGGGCCACCCTGATGCTGGAGCCTGCCCTGCACAAGCCCGAGCTTGCCCGTCTCACTCCCTTCACGGCAGAGCCAGTGCAGTGAGCAGAGTCTGGAGGGAGCACCTGTTGCCAGGAGCCTGCATGGAGCACAGGGCACCGTGTGTGTGTGTGTGTGCGTGTGTGTGCACACGCGTGTGTGGCAGCTTCATTGGGATACAATTCACCCAGCATACAATCCATCCATTTACAGTACATAATTCAGTTGTTTTTGTTATATTCACATATATTCAGCTGTACATCAGTATTAGAGTATTTGTGTCACTTTAAATGGGGGTGCATCACTTTGAATCCATCCCTTTGGCTACACCCCCAAGTCTCCAGCCCCCACGCCTTCTACCACCCCAGTCCAAGACAATCACTAATCTTTCTGTCTCCACAGATTTCCCTATTCTGGACATTTCATATATATGGAATCATATAGCATGTGGCCCTTTGTGATTGGCTCCTTTCACTTAGCATAATATTGTCAAGATTCATCACGTTGTAGCATGAATCATTGCTTCTTTTTATTGTCAATAATATATGTGATATGGATATACTACATTGTTGAAAATTCATTCACCAATTAATGGCCATTTGGTCCTTTCCCCTTTGGCTATTATGATTAAAGATACTGTAAACATATGTATACACGTTTCTGTGTGGACGTATGTTTTCATTTCTCTTAGATATACACCTAGGAGTAGAATTGTCGGATCATAGGGGAACTTTATGATTAATCACTTGAGGAACTGTCAGGCTGTCTTCCACAGAGCCTGTACCATTTTCCGTTCCCACCAGCAGTGTTTTAGGGTTCTAGTTTCTCCATATCCTCGACAACACTTGTTACTGTCTTCTTTTTATATTTTAGCCATGCTGGTGAGTGTGAAATAGCATCTCACTATAGTTTTGATTTGCATTTCCCTGATGACTGATGATGTCAACCACCTTTTCAGGTGTTTATTGGCGATTTCTTGGGGAAATCTGTTCAGGTTTTTTGCCCATTTTTAAAATTGGGTTATTTATCTTTTTATCATTGAGCTTTAAGAGTTCTTTATATGCTTTTACTTTATATAAGCCCCTTATCAGATATGACTTACAAATTTGTTCTCCTGTTCCTTGCATTGTCTGTTTACTTTCTCCGTGGTGTCCCTTGAGGCACAAAGTTTTTAATTTTGATGAAGTCCCATCTCTTTTTTTTCTTCTGTTGCGCATACATTTGGCCCCATAACTTGCTGAGTATTTTTAATCAGACACTTTTCCCCATGAAGGGAATGGCAAAAACTGAACTCTTGGGCTGGGCTAAGTTCTGGTGGCTCATATTGGATTCTGAGAGGTCATTTCAGCAGGAAATAAAGGTCCCATCAGCTTCCTGGGTGGTGGGAGTCACAAACTCACCAGGCCTCCAGCTCTTTCACTCGGGGATCTGTTCAGGGCGGGAACAGACCTGCAATCAGGGAGTGCCCCCCCCCCCCCCCCCGGCTGGGTCAGTAAAAGTAAGAAATGAGAATTGGGACTCTAGAGATAGGAGGGCCTGAGTTTGAATCCAGGGAATGCCACTGAGCAATGTGGGAGCCTGGGAGAGAAATGACCTCTTTCTGAACCCTGTTTCCTCCCCTGTTCATGAAGGGATAGAGAAAAGAGTCCCTTCTCAGCGTTCGCATTCGGGCTGACAGGCGGCTAGGATCTCAGGAACTGACTCGGTCCTCTATCCTCCAGCCATGAAAGCCGACCGGAAGCGCCTAAAGGGTGAGAAGACAGACCTGGTGAACCAGATGCAGCAGCTGTATGCCACGTTGGAGAGCCGGGAGGAGCAACTACGGGACTTCATCCGCAACTACGAGCAGCACCGCAAGGTCGGCACTCCCCACCCAACCCCGATCCCGCAGACACCAGACACCGGCTCCCTTATTACTGCCCCACCCAGCACAGGGTCCAACCTCGAATCTCAACACAGGAGGACTGCCCATATCCCCTTATGCTCACTGGGGGAAATCCCTGATGTGTTGGGCCTGGATCTGGATCCTGAGATGAATACACTCAGCCCCTAACCATAGCTCTGTGTCTCCTGGGCAGACCAGCCTGGACAGGAAGCCCAGTTGGTGACAGTGTAGGCTCCGGATTCTAGCTGGTCTGGCTTCAGATCCCAGCTTCCCATGTGTATGCCCTTGGGTATCTCCTTAACCTCTCAGAGCCTCAGTTTCCTCATCTACAGCAATCATGGTGCCGACGTTGCAGAGCTTTGATGAGGACCCTGTGAGATGATGAATACAGAGCATTAAACATGGTGCCTAGTACATACTAAGTGCTCATACTAAATGTCAACTTTGCATCTTACTAATGATACCATAATAAGAGTGTGAAAAGAGAGTGGGGAGAACCATGAGATAGCAGGAAATTCTTCCTCCAGGAGACAGCCCTGGAAGGCTTCGCAGAGGTGGTGACATACAAGTCAGGCTCTGTGGGGTGAGTAGGAGTTTCTGATCAGATGACTGAGGAATTTGGTTCAGTCAATATCTGGTATATGTTCTGTGGTCATGCCATAGAGAGCTTCCCAGGAGGCACTAGTGGTAAAGAACCTGCCTGACAATGCAGGAGATATAAGAGACATGGGTTTGATCTCTGGGTTGGAAGATCCTCTGGAGGAGGGCATGGCAACCCACACCAGTATTCTTGCCTGGAAATTTCCATGGACAGAGGAGCCTGGTGGGCTACAGTCCACGGGGTCACAAAGAGTCGGACACGACTGAAGCGACTTAGCACACATGTACATGCCATACAGAGTACTGAAACATAAAGGAAAGAGAGTCGGTCCCCGAAACCAAGCAGGCCTTATGAGCCATTATGTTTGCAGGGAGAGTTGTAACCTTCTCGTGAGCAGAACAGAAAATCTATTGGAAACTGCCCTGTGCCTGATACCACATGGCAGCGGGTGTGACCAAGGTTTGCTTATACTCTGCAGAGAAAATGGAGGTGGGAAACTCTTAAGTTTCCTCAGGCATAGGAGGTTTGAGCAGTTCTCCCAACAGCTGGTGGGCTGGTTGCATGAGTACACTCGCGGGTGTTGCCTCTGAGCCAGAGTCCACAGGCAGGAACTTCAGAGACAGGATCTGAATTTAAAATGCTTCATCCTCACGGCCCTCTTTGGTCTGTAGCAGTGACCTTCCCTCTCACCGCCCAAGTATACAGATTCCTTCCCTTCCAGAATGAGAACAGCCCTGGGGGAGCTCCCTGGGCCAGGCATCCACAGCCTCTGAGTGGTCCACAGTTTCCCAGCTGCCCTGGGTGTCAGCCCAGGACCCCAGCTTCTCATGCTTGTCCTTCTACAGTGGGTGTAGAAGTTGGCCTCCCCATGCCTGTCATTTGCAGACAGAGTGTGGCACTCAGTCAATAACCTGTGGAAGCAGAGAGGAGGAATGGGAACCACTGCTACCCGCTTTCTTGGTCCTCTTCTGCATCCCAGACTTCCTCTGTGTCCTCACTTGGCAGAAGGATCAAGGGAGGTCTCTGGGGTCTCTTTTAAGGGCACTAATCCCATTCATGAGGGCTCCACCCTCATGACATAAGCACCTCCCAGAGGTCCCACCTCCTAAAATAATCACATTAGGATTCTTTCTGCTCTTTTTTTTTTTTTAAGTATTTATTTATTTGGCTGTGCCAGGTCTTAGTTGTGGCATGCAGGATCTTTAGTTGTGGAATGTGGGATCTAGGCCTCTGACCAGGGATTGAACTCAGGCATTGGGAGTGTGGAGTCTTAGCCACTGGACCATTAGGGGAGGCCCTGGGATTTCAACATATGAATTCTGGCGGGACACAGACATTTGAACAATAGGACTACCCGCCTCTCAGAGTCCACCTCTGTCCATTCTGTTTTCCTAGCTGAAGCACCTGGAGTAGGTCCCAAGAGCCTGATCTTTCTTCAGTAGGTGAGACATAGAGAACCTTTGCTCAAGTGGCCCCGTGCCCATCAACAGGGAAACACAGTCATCCTTGTTTGAGGGGAGGTGACACAGGGCAGGGGCCAGAGAATCAGCCCACGGCGATGCCTGCATCCAGGGATGTGCTGTCCCCAAGGGCGAGGGGCAGGCCCCAGGCTGTCCTTGACCCCACTTGTCCTTGGGTCATCAGCTTCCTTGTGTGTTAGTCAGTGTTCTCCAGGGAAGTTATATATATATATATATATATATATATTTTATGTGTCAACTTCACTGGACCATGGGGTGTTCAGATTTTCGGCTAAACATTATTTATATATATATATATATATAAGAGCGCGTGGTTTATTAGAAGGAGTTGGCCCACATGATCACGGAGGCCAGCAGGTCCCATGACCTGCCATCTACCAGCTGGAGATCCAGGAGAGCCGTGGCATCATCCAGTAGGAGTCCAGAGGCCTGAGAGCTGAGCTGTAAGTTCCACCCGAGGGCAGAAGGAGAGTCATCCCCAGTTCAGCTCTCAGGCAGGGAGGGTAGTTTCATCCTTCCTCCACTTTCTACTCAGGCCTCAAAAGGATTGGGTGATGCCCACTCACATGGGGGAGAGCCATCCACTGGGTCCACCCGTTGAGATCTTAATCTCATCTGAAACAGCATCGCAGACACACCCAGAAATAATGTTTAGCCGAAAATCTGAACACCCCATGGTCCAGTGAAGTTGACACATAAAATTAACCATCACATTTGGCCCTGAAGGCAGGGTGATGCAGAGGTTAAGACCCGATAAGGTTTAGAATCTCACCTCTGCCAGTCACTAGCCAAGTGGCCTCATCCTTAAAACTGGGATAATGATAGCAAGTACTGGAGCCCAGCTTTGTCAGCACTGAAGGTTCTGGTACACAGAAAGCACACGGCCGGGGGTGGGGGGGCTGCTGGGGGAGGGGAATGGTTGCTGTTGTTGTTGTTGTTGTTGTTGTTGTTATTATTACCACCATCACCTCTGAGGGTTCAGAGTCAGGCATTTGATCATGAAAATTCCACAGTGAGTTTCAGGGCCCTTCTATGGGCCCCTCATCCACCACAGACTGGTGATGGTCCCCCTGGCAAACCCAGAGAAGCACATGGCTGCCCACTGTTAGGAAGCCCCTGGCCGGGCAGGAGCAGTGTAAGAAAAAAGACAAAGTGGTCTATTCTTAAGAATAGCTAGCTTTGAATGACAGCTTGCTGATGTAGTAGCCGATAACCATAAGGCTTACAAAAGCAGAAAGTCCTGGCAAACAAAGGGAGGGTGGGATGCCTAGGATCTTCACACGAGTTCATTGTATTGGTGAACTTAAAACATAAGAGCAGGAATAGGGTTTCACCAGGCTCATCCTATTGGTAAATTCAAAACATAAGAATGTAAATAGGTGTGCAGGAAAGGAGAAAACAAGATGTCAGGGAGGCTGTTCAGTCACTCAGTTGTGTCTGACTCTTTGCAACCCCATGGACTGCAGCATGCCAGGCTTTCCTCTCCTTCACCATCTACCGGAGCTTGCTCAAACTCAATCCATTGAGTCAGTGATGCCATCCAACCATCTTATCCTCTGTTGCCCCTTCTCCTCCTGCCTTGAATCTTTCCCACCATCAGGGTCTTTTCTAATGAATCGGCTCTTTGCATCAGGTGGCCAAAGTATTGGAGCTTCAGCTTCAGCATCAGTCCTTCCAATGAATATTCAGGGTTGATTTCCTTTAGGATAGACTGGTTTGATCTCTTTGCAGGGATGTCAGGGAGGGGCCAGCCCATAAAGAGGGAGGGAACAAACCTAGGCAATGTCCAAGAAGATTGTTCACCCCATAGTGAACCATAGTACTCAGCCAATGAGGAACTGGGGGAGGGGCTTGCACGCTAGGATAACTTGCTCTGTGTAACAGCTCTGGGTGTTCCTGCCCACCAGACACTCCACCTTGCAAGACCGTCACTAAAGCCTGGCTTCCCCCTACACCTTATGTCTCCAAGTCCATTCTTTGAGTTTGGACTAATGAGAGTGTTTCTCACAGTAGGTCCTAGCTGGCCTCACAGACCCCAGTCATGGACCCTGCCTCCAGGAGAATGGGAGAGTCTCGGTAAAAAAGCAAGAACCACCCCAGAAAGGACCTTCTGGGGAGTTCCGAGGGTCCCAGAGGATCTAGGAACACAGGGTGGGGAAAGTATTTCCAGAGTATAGGCACCTTGAAGGAGGATAGAGCCAGATCGGAAAAGCAAAGAGGTGGGAATTCCCTGATAGTCCAGTGATTAGGACTTGGCACTTTCACACTTTGACTGCTCTAGTCTGGGTTTGATCCCTGGTCAGGGAATTAAGATCCTGCAAACCATGTGGTGTAAATAAATAGATAAATAAGAAAAGGCATGTGATGCTTATGATAAAAGGCTAAGAGGATCAAAAAGAAAGGGCCATTTCACACACTCTGACAATGAGTGTGACAATGGCCATCTTCAGAAGCCACCTATCACCACCTGACGCAGGAGGACTTACGGTATGCAGGCATTGTCGTAATCTCTTTACATCTGGTATTTTTCCAGCAACCCTATGCAGTATGATTGTCGCGGTTAGCCCCATTTTACAGAGGTGAAAACTGAGATGTAGGCCAAGTCGCTCATGCAGGGTCACACAGTTATGTGAAGAGGGGAAGCAGGATACAAACCCAGGCATTTAGGCTCTGGTGCTCATTTGCATAACACCTGGCCCGTATTGGCCTCCCACACTGCTCCGTACCTGTATAGATGAACAAATGAGTTACTTTCGAGATTCACTGTTTACAAGGCAAACCAGGGAGAAGAGGTCACAGCCACCCCCATGAGCTGTGGGGGGTGTGCTGTGCCTGGTGGTGGCACTGTGACCGACCTGGGGTTTTAATAACAAGCATTTCTTCTATTAATATCTTTCAACTGGGGCATCAAATTCATTTTTATAATTGTGCTGATACTTGAGAATAAAATCCCCGTGGGGAGCCACCTTCCTCCAGCGTGGTGCTGTTTTTCTTAAGTCACAGGTAACTGGGGGCATCTCCTAAGTCCAGCAAGAAGAGAGGTGTGGTGTGAAGCTGAAGCCTTGCGGCTGCAGCAGCCCCAAGCAGGCATAGGTGGTCACCATTGAGCATCAGTGTCACTCTCATGGGATAGCTTCACAAGACCCTACAGAATCATTCAGAAAAACAGAATTTGGAAAACACTCAATTTTTTAAACTGCTGTCCTATGTTATGAGGAGCTGTTGTTGTTTAGTCCCTGAGTCATGTCCGACTCTTTTGTGACCCAATGGACTGTAGCGCACCAGGCTCCTCTGTCCATGGGGTTTCCCAGGCAAGAATACTGGAGTGGGTTGCTGTTTTCTCCTCCAGGGCATCTTCCCAACCTAGGGACTGAACCCAGGTCTCCTTCATTGACAGAGTTTTTACCATCTGAGCCACCAGGGAAGCCCAGCAACACTGAGATGATATTTAACCATTGTTGAATCCAATCCCACTTTACAGATGGGAGGACTGAGGCGCCAAAGGGTCCAGTAGCTGACCCAGGGCCGTATATTTAGGGATAGTTTAGAGACACTAAAACCACAAATTCTGGTTTTATTCCACCTCGTCAAAGATCTTGCAATTTATTTTTTTTTAATGACTTGCATTTTTATGTGCAAGAAAAAATATCCCCATGAACAGGATGAATGGAACCTCAGGTGCCCAACCCTCTTGATGCCCAGCCACTCAGCCTGCCATGGCTCAGCCAGCTCTCCCAGGGAACCCCCTGCAGGCCTCACCCAGAGCAGGTAACAGGAGCCCAGGTCTCTGAGCTGGGGGCAGGGGGGTGGGGGGCAGGAAAGGTCAACACAGGCACAGGCTGCTTAGAAATGAGCAATTTGGGGCCCAACCAGAATGTTCACAGAATTGCAATATCCCAGGAAGCTATGCCAGAGGCATATTCCCTGTCACAGCTCTGTGGTTTGGAGCGGGACTGGGGGACTCCCCATAAACACAACTGAGGAAGGTCTCAGCAAGCTGGGCAATGGCTGGGTCTAGAGAGATCTTGGGTGGCAAAGTCAAAACAGACCACCTTGCCATTACCCCCTGGCCAGGCCTGTCTTCCCCTAAAGCCCCCCCCTCATAGTGCCCCTACTTCTTCTGTCCGGTGAGCTCCGGCTGCCGGGGCTCAGCTCCCAGATGCCCAGAGGGACGTCAGCTCCCAGCTTGACATCTGAGGCCCCACACAATCAGGCTAAGTCCTACCTTCACAAATTCCAGCCACCCTGACCCCCATCAGGTTCCAGCCCCTTAGGCAGTTCTCCTTCAATTTCTTTCCTGCCTTTGTTGCTAGCAAGGATTGAGAACCTCCACCACACTATTTGTGAGGCTGCAGAGGTTATTTTACCTCTATGGTCTCAGTTTACTCATCTGTAAAATGGGGATAATCATAGTCCCTGCCTCACAGGTGGTTGTTTAAATACAATAATGCAGCTAAAACCCTCAGCACCGTACTTGACATGTGTACAGAACATTCCATGACAGTTGTTACTGAGCCCTGCACTCCTGCCAGGGGTGTGGTCATGGATGTCAGAGTCTTTACTGAGGCAGAAAGCACCTACAGCCTCCGACCTATCCCCACCCCACCCCACCCCTCCCCCCCCCGCCCACCACACACACAGCCTGAACCTCCAGTCTGCCCACAACTAGTGGGGCTAGGGACAGCAAAGAGACACAGAGACAAAGGTGATCCTGAGGGTTCTAGTGGACCTTTTTTTTAATTTGGGGATATGTGGTAGGCAGTCTCATGTACACCAACCAGTTCTCAGTGGTCCTGATCCACACACTTCATAGCATGGGATATTCCATGACTAGGCTTGCTGCTAGGTCCTGAGGATGGATGCTGGGACATGGTCCCCAGCTTCTGGGGAAAGAGCTGGCTGGTCCATCATGTGACACAGGGGGCCATACTTGTCAGCTGTTGCACTGACCCCACCTGAAGACAGCTTCAAAAAGGAAAGGAAAGGAGAAATAAGTAGTGGTGGAGCGCCTCCCTGCATTGGAGAGCCTGCTTCCAGAACCTAATAGTACAGCTTGCCTGGGATTTTACAATAGTGTCGTCTGTCACTTTGCATCTTTTTTAAAAACCATATTTATTTGGCTACATTGGATCTTAGTTGAGGCACACAGGTTTAGTTGCCCCGTGGCATGTGGGATCTTAGTTCTCCGACCAGGGATTGAACCCCTGCCCCCTGCATTACAAGATGGATTCTTAACCACCGGACCACCAAGGAAGTTCATGTTACTTTGCATCCTGCATTACCAGTTTCTTCTGACCATCACTCTGGAGATGTGATAGTGTCACTGGCTCACACACGAGGTGGCTGAGGTTTGGGGAAGTTAACATCACTTGCTCCATGCGTCACAGCTTGCCATGGATGGAACAGAGACTCACAGCCAGGCATCCTGACCCCAGGAGACAGTCCTAGAAGAAATTGTCCCCCAACACACACCCCACCTGCTCTAGACTCTACTGAGAAGCCAGGGGCTGGTGACACAGACACTCGTGTCCTCCCCGCACCCAAGCTGGGAGAGCTGTCCTGTGATGGCCTTCAGAGTCGTCACAGCAACTGCCACGCACACTTCCTTTTACTCGGCAGTGTTTCTTGGCTGCTGCTCTGGGACCCTGACGTCTGCTGATGAGCTAGAGCGTGCAGAAGGGCTTTTCAGTGTAAGCTCCGTGGGCACAGAGACTTTTGTCTGATTTGTGCCTGCTGGTGGCATCCATGGATATTGGTTGAATGACAGTGTCAGGTACTGGTATAAGAAACAGGGTGGGAAAGGCTGGGGCCGCTCTCTTAGATGGATGGTCAGGAAAGGCCTCCTGAAGAAGACATTTGAGGAGCATCCGGAATGAATGAGTGAGCACCTGCTGTGTGCCCTGCTAAGTCGCTTCAGTCATGTCCAACTCTTTGGGACCCCATGGACTGTAGCCTGTCAGGCTCCTCTGTCCATGAGATGCTCCAGTCAAGAATACTGGAGTGGGTGGCCATGCCCTCCTCCAGGGGATCTTCCCGACCCAGGGATCGAACCCATATCTCTTTAAGCCTCCTGCATTGGCTGGCTGGTTCCTTACCACTAGCCGCCACCTGGGAAGCCCTGCCATGTGCCCGGTGCCCTGCTAAACTCTGAATTTGGATTATCTCATCCGATCCTCATGGTAATACCCTCAAGGATAGGTGCTTTGATCCCATGTAACAGATGAGGAAACTGAGGCACAGCAGTCATTGCAACTTGTTCTTCAGAGCCAGAATTCGACCCAGACTCTCTCTTTCCCTGGATCCTAAGCCACAGCTCCAGCTCTGTGACAGCCACAGAGGAAGGGCCAGATGTCTCCCTCGGCCTCTTGGTCTCTGACCATCTGGAAGTCAGGCCTTTGGCTGCAGGGCTGTTAGACAAGACGGGGTGGCCACTCCCAGCTCAGACCCAGGCTACACGGAGACCTTGAGTTTGGCTCCCAATTTAGCGGATGAAAAGACTGTGGGTGGTTGGGTAGGCAGGGGCCCCTGGCTGGGACCCTTTCTCTGGAAGGGAAAGATGCCCTGGATCATGAAATTTGGCCCTTGGCAACAGAGGTCAGGTCCTCTGATCCAGCCAGCTATTCCTTGTCTGCTGGATTTCCTGGACCAGCATAGCTGGAGCCCATGGCCCTCCCCTCAGCATCACGGAGAAAACATCCCATGAAGATATACCAGCGGGGAGCAGGGCCCAGGGTGAAGGGCAGAGAACTGTCCTGCAGTCAGACACCACAGCTAGCTGGGGGTCCAACTTATTCCATCATCAGCTGTGACCTTGGAGGATGGTGACAGGGCCCCATGGCAGCCCAGGTGGCCGGGCTGTAGATGTCTCCTCTGTCACTGTTTTCCCGTGACACACACATTACCAAACAATAGAACAGAGGACCAAGCCCAAACCCACTGTTGACCCTTTTATTAGACTCCGCTTAACTATTTCCTTCACGTGGAGTCATTTAATCTTTATAACAGTTCTTTGATAGGAGTAGTGTTGATTCCCTGCCCCCATTTCAAATATGGAGAAACGAAAACTTGAGTTAAAAGAACTTATCCATGACATTCGTTTGCTTGTTTATCCACTGAAAAAATAATGGCTGAGCATCTACTAATGGTTTGTTTCTGTTCCAGTCTCCCAGCTAGTATGTGGCAGAGACCGGCTTGAACCCAGGGCTTTCTTCCTCCAGGACCCGAGCATGGGGGACCCCCCCCACACACACACACATTCTGCTAGTCCAGGGGTCAAGGGCCTCTGGGCATCTCCTGGCCAAAGGTTGGCCCCACCCACGCTCCTGGTAATGCTGGCCTCTCCCCGCAGGAAAGCGAGGATGCTGTGAAAGCTCTGGCTAAGGAGAAGGACCTGCTGGAGCGCGAGAAGTGGGAGCTGCGGCGCCAAGCCAAGGAGGCCACGGACCACGCCACAGCACTGCGCTCCCAGCTGGACCTCAAGGACAACCGGATGAAGGAGCTGGAGGCGGAGCTGGCCATGGTGAGACCCCGCCCCTTCGCCCACACAGGCTGGGGGGCACCTGCCGGAAGTGGTGTCATGTTCTGGGAGCAGGAGGTGCTGGGAAACAAGGCATGCCAGTGGGTTTACGTGGGAGTCCGGAGGGGCGGGACTAAGGCAGGGGGCGAGCCCTGGGATGCTCGCTCTGCTTTTTTTCGTGTCAACCACACAGCCTTCCATCTGCCTGCGGGGGGCCAGGCAGGCCCTGGGAATGCTGGGAGAACATCCACTAACATTTGGGAGGAAAAACACCACAAAATTAACAATGGTTATCTCTGGGTAGTAAGATCAGAAGTGGCTTCTATTTCCTTTTTTTTTCCCTCCCTATTTTTCCACACTATTGTCTTATTGCTTGGATCTTCAAGGGGAAAAAATGTTATTTTTTTCTAACTTAAAACATACTTCAGAATACTTCCAAACACTGTGTTTTCCTCGGAGATGTGCAGCCTGCCTGTGGAGGTAGAGTCTAGGTGGTGTTTTCAAGCTTGGTCAGGCAACAGAACCAAGGTCCAGAGCCCTAGAGTTCTGTTCTGCCTTCTCCTGTGTGACCTTGGGCTGCTCACTGAACTTCTCTGAGCTTCCATGACCTTTACCTGGTCCTGGAGTGGAGGTGAGGATCTTTATTCCACCCTGCCTTCCCACCAGATGTTTGAGAAACTCCAGGGACCTCATGGTTTAAAGGGCCTTGAAACTGCTGCTGCTGCTAAGTCACTTCAGTCGTGTCTGACTCTGTGCAATCCCATAGACAGCAGCCCACTAGGGTCCCCCGTCTCTGGGATTCTCCAGGCAAGAACACTGGAGTGGGTTGCCATTGCCTTCTCCAATGCATGAAAGTGAAAAGTGAAAGTGAAGTCGCTCAGTCGTGTCCGACTTCCAGTGACCCCATGGACTGCAGCTTACCAGGCTCCTCCGTCCATGAGATTTTCCAGACAAGAGTACTGGAGTGGCAGGACCGTTCACCCATCTGGCTCTCAGCTCCCTCAGGTGTCAGTAGGGATACCTGCATATACTCCATGGCTTTCCCAGTGGCTCAGATGGTAAAGAATCTGCCTGCAATGCAGAAGACCTGGGTTCAATCCCTGGGTCAGGAAGATTCCCCAGAGAAAGAAATGACAACCCACTCCAATATTCTTGCCTGGAGAATTCCATGGACAGAGGAGCCTGCATATACTCTATAGGGCTCTGGTGAGGGTTTCAATGAAATAATGCAAAAGAAGCACTTAGCCGCTCCTGTACATGGTGAGTGATGATATGACAACGGGAAGGTTTGAAATAGTCACTTCTTTCAGGACCAGGGGTTGCCCAGGGCAGGTCAGGATCCGTGGGCCACTTCCTGGGACCAATCCCACCCTCTGCCTCCTGGGTCTCCATGTCCAATGCAGACCCCTAGTGGTGAGAGCTTCCCAGGCTAGAGGAAGTTCCATCTCCTGGGTCTCTGGGATCTTCCCACCAGTGGGGTCAGTGGTGCTGGCGGCCCTGCTGCCACATACAGACCAGACAAAAACCTTTTAAGTTGTAGATCTAGGAAGGGGGCTTGGGGGGAGACAAGACCGCTATTCTGCCAAGTCTTCCTGGTGTCCTATGGATGGACAGATGGGTCCTCATGGCCTTGGACCACGAGCTGCAGGCATGCTGGGGAACTCTGGTGTCTTTCAGGACTAGGAGCCAGCTCATCTCTACTTCCACTCACCATGCCCGGGTGACTCAGCCTGCTTTGGTTCTAAGAGCCTAAGGCCAGTGGCACTTAGGCCCTTGCCTCCTCCCTCTGGCCAGTTTCACACCTCTCTGCTAAGTGTGAATAGAGAGTGAATATTTGCAGCTCAAGGTGGTGGGTTTGCTGTCACATCAACACAGCCCATGACAGCCCCCGTGTTGGTGTGTCCACTTGCCTGGAGGTCCCCTGTATTGCAGAATTTCACAGCCTGGAGGCCTCCAAGACTCCGGTCAGTGCTGTCTGGCTCCCCTCACTGCACTGCTGGCCAGGTCGAGAGCAGATGGAAGGCACTTTCCCTGCGTGTGCGCCCCAAGTCCTTGCATTGTAAGCAACAGAAAGCAGCTCTGGCTAGTTCAAGCACACCGCGTGCACTGGAAGGAAGTCAAGAGCTCACAGGTGTGGTGGGGAAGTGGAGGGTCAGCTTGGAAACGGGCCAAAGCCAAGGCAGCTTCAGCCAGTGGGGAAGCCACGAGTCCATCTGGAATGGTCTGCTCAGTGACCCCTGCCAGGAGGATGAACCTGAACCCTTTGTCCTCTGGATTTCACTTCAGGTTTTAAAAGGCTGATCCAGTACAGGATATCCAAATGGCCCATCTGGGGTCACCTGCTTACTCCTGTTCTAGGAGTTCTGGCTATGGCACCAGTGATGGGTCATTTCATTAAGTGACCTGCCCACAACACTGAAGACCTGAGGCAGCTGCCAGGTGAGGGGCGAGCAGGCCGTGTCCCAAATCAGGAATCATCCCTCCCCTACCCAGCTCCACACACCCTATGCAGCTGAAAAGGGCCGCTTCACTTGAGTAAGAAAAAGACAAAGACACAGCTTCCCAAGAAATGAATACCTCTCTTGGTGTTTGGTGACGGGCACCTGAGGCTCCCACCCTTGGGGAGGGGACATCTCCTGATGACAACTCCTGGCCAAACTAGGCATTCCCACCCAAGGAGCAGTTTCGCTTCCACAGCCACACTGGCTCCACGGGACCACCCTGTGGTGGTGGTTTTGTTAATTTAAAAACTGTTCAGCATGCTGTTTTATTGAGATACTAGTCACATACCATAAAATTCATCCTTTTATGATGTACAATTTAGTGGTTTTTAGTATGTTCAGAAAGTTGTACAACCATCACCACTATCTAATCCCAGAACACTCTCCTCCCCCTAATAAGAAACCATAGCTGTTAGCAGTCACTCCAGTGAGCTGTATATTCTTACTGTGCCCATTTCACCGATGTGGAAACAGGTCTGGCGTGCAAGAGGCTCACCCAGAGCTGACCAGAGAATTGAGAGGCAGAGCTGGGAGTCCGGCAGTCCTCATGCTCTGTGATGGGAGGCCTCTAAAAGGATGCCCAGGTGCTGGCCTGGAGGAGACACCCCCTCTTAGCAGTGAGCAGGCCGGAGACAGGGCTGCCAGCCCAGAGCTCACAGGCTTCCCCCCCCCACCCATCCCAGGTGCAAGGCCGGTTCCCTGGAGCCTGGTTCCCAAGGTGGCCTAGACTTTTGTTGTTTTGTATCAACGCTGCTTCTCCAAAACAGGAAACAATTCTTAAGTTTACTATGTACTTAAGTTTACTATGTTACCAAGGCTTCTCGCCCTCCACACTGTTGACATTTGGGGTCAGAGAATCTGGTGGGGCCATCCAGTGCAGTCGGTTGTACAGCAGCACCCGTCCCTGGCCTCCACCTACTAGACGCCAGGAGCACCTCCCAACTACGGGAAAGTCTCCAGACATTTCCCAGAGTCCCCTGGATGGGGAGAGAATTCACCCTGGTGAGAACCACTCCTCTATAGAGCAGGATGTTTCTCAAGAATGGACTATAGGATTCCCTCATCTCGGCGTCTGTTTGCGCCCTGGTTGGTCAATTCTAACAGGGTCCCAGTTTGGGTCCTGCATTTTCTGGCCGTGTGACCTTTGACAAGTAACTTAACTTTCTGAGCCTGTGTCCATATGTAGAAGACCTTTCTCCTGGGGTGATTGGGAGGTGCGGTGATGAGGGATGAAGGCAGGCTCACCTTCCACCATCAGTGGACGTTAGCTGTTCTTACTGATGTTGGAGACCATTCTGTGCTCAGGCCACCCCGAGATGAAGAGTTGTGGATTCTCGTGTCCTGTCTACTAGCCAGTCATCGTGTGACCTGGAATGGCCTGGGCCTCAGTTCCTTCATATGTAAAAAGTGACAGCTGTCACATGCCCAGGCAAGGCTGGCACAGTGAGCACCAGTGAGAGGCAGGGTCGAGTGGCAGGGGGACCAGGGTGGTTTGGGTTCCTTTTTTAACAGCTGTGCTCTGGGTTGGCACCACCCCTGCCCTCCCTCTAAGGAAATCAGCCTGGCCACACAGCACACTTCCCAGCCCTGGACCACTGCCATTCTGGCCCAGCAGACCAGCCCTTGCCCACAGCCAGCTCCGAGCATTGGGCCTGAGCTCAGACCCCCCCAGCCACACATGTGAGGGTCAGAGCCTGCCCAAGCCTGACGTTGTCCCCCATAGCGCCTCTCTCCACCCTCTGGGGCGCTTGGAGAAGGTGTGGACCCAGTGTTGCCCTATCAGCTCATTCTGGTGCCTCCACGCTGGACCCACTGCCACCACATCCTGAGATCTGGGACAGGGTCACAGTAAGCCCAGGAAGACAGTCGTCGAGTCCGCTCGTAGCCAACGTGATGCCTCTTTAGTGCAAACTCGGCGTTTGTGCAGCTGGAGTCCACCCGAGCTTGACCTTCTCATGTTTCCTTGAAAGGTTCCTGCCCTGAAATCCTCCCAAGCTTTGGCGGGAGAGATATCCCTAGGGGGTCTTCCCCACCCAGGGGTCAAATCCATGCCTCTTAGGTCTCTTGAATTGGCATGCTAAGTTGCTTAAGTCGTGTCTGACTCTGTACGACCCTCTGCACTGTGGCCTGCCAGGCCCCTCTGTCTGTGGGGTTCTCCAGGCAAGAATACCGGAGTAGGTTGGCATGCCCTCCTCCAGGGGATCTTCCCTACCCAGGGATCAAACCCACATCTCTTACATTTCCTGCATTGGCAGGTGGGTTCTTTACCACCAGTGCCACCTGGGAAGCCCCTCAGGCCAACTCTCTGACTGGAAACACAGCCTGGCCTTCAGGCAGTTAGAAACCTGAGGGGGAGGAGGGCAGGGCTCCACACTCCTCCTGCCTTCTACTTCCTGGATTATCCAATCTCACAGAGGCATAAATAATCCTAACAGCCTGCTACTGTTGGACAGCAAACCAGACAGTATCCTGGGCCTTCCTGTGAATTATTCCATGTCTGACTCCTACTTTTGAAGTGGAAACTGTTTCATAATAACAGTCACTGACATTTATTGAGCCTTTTTTTTTTATTAAACCATAGGCCAAGTGCTCTCCATAGCAACCATATTTCCTCATCAGACAGACAAGGGTGTGAAGGCACAGGCGAGGGGGCCTCTCTCAGGATCCCCCAGCTAGGAAGTGGCAGAGCTGGACTCAGATCCCGGCTGTTGGATCCCAGAGGCCAGGCTCCAAGGCGCTATACTGGGCTTCCTTGTCCCACAACTCCAGGGGGGCACACTTACAGATAATGATCCCTCTCAGTTCCCCATCTTACCGTGAAGACCCTGAGGCTCAGAGTGGTGGAGTAACTCGCTCCAGATTACACAGCAAGTCAAATAGTAGAAATGGAGTTGGCTCCATGTTCTGTCTGACTTTTGTCACACGAGGGTATTTGAGCCAATTCACCAGTTCCCAGGAGCTCAAAACTGTGGGTTCAGGGTGCCCAGCATGGCGTGTAGGCTCAGAGAGAAGAGTGAGCTCCTAGTGTTGAACTGCATTCAGTGGAGGAGATTAGTAGAGAAATGTGCGGATTGCCACCAAAAAAAAAAAGAAAAAATGATCCAGTGCAGCATCGAGAGAGAGAGAGAGAGAGAGAGAGAGAGTGTGTGTGTGTGTACATGCAAGTATTTTAAGTTAGACTTGATATGCCTCATCTGCAGTTCACATCTCTGTTTTGCTCAGTCTTGGAGATTTAAACTCACGAGTGGACAGTTTGTGACAGGTTCCTGTGCTCAGAACTCACAGATACACCCGCCCCATCCTACAGGACTAAAGGTAGGCTCCTCCACATTGTCAGGCAGGAATAATGCCAAGTTGCCTGCTGAGTTATTCCTAGAAGGTGCTGCTCTCAGGCCGAGACAGAGGTGAGGCTCCACCTGGGAGAAGGAAGCCAGGTGGAGACAGGAGAGTGGTCCTGCCCGGGCCTCTTGCTGGGCTGCCTCAAGGGGCTGCTCATTTCAAGGGGTGACTTGGACTTGCCTGTGCTTGCCATGTGCGTGGCTGGGGATGCTTGCAAGAGGGCAGAGCTGAGAGTCAGTTATCACTGATGGCAGGCTGACCAGGTGCTCACTTCCCACCAGAGCCCACCTGTCCGGCAGCTAAGCTGGGTCGGGCAGAAGGAAGCCAGGGAGTGGGGCTGCCAACTACACAGAGCGGAGCCAGGATGGAGGGCTGGGAGGCCAGGTGCACGGATAGCTGGGGGGAGAGCAGATGTGGTCCCCAGTGAGGCGCGGTGGTCCAGGAAACACGTCCATGATGCTGGTGGGCCTGCTGCAGACACACAGCAGCTCCAAGACACAGCCAGCCTGGCTCCTTCCTTCAGTAAAAGGATTGCTCCGTTGTTCCTGTAGTAACTGAACAGCACAGATTCCCTGGGCTGTCTGCTTGGATGTGGCAGAGACCTGCTTCCAGTCCCTCTGCAGTTTTCCTGAGTGCTTCACTCGTTGTGCCCATTCCCAAGCCAGGTGCTGGGGATCCTGTGGTGACCACCACACCCCACTCTCTGCCTCATGGCTTCAGAGTCTGCATCACTTGTGCTGGTTATTTCCTTGCCCCAGAGGAGGGTGGGCACCATAGACAACCATGGGGCTTCCAGGCTTGGGGCCCAACTTTGACATCATGCCTGCTGTGCACTCCTAGAGAAGTTACTTAACTTCTCTGAGTTCTGATTTACCTTCTGGCAAGCACAGCTAATCCTGCATTCCCTACTTGAGACCCAGGGCTGTACACTTGAGTACATGATAGTTTTCTAAACCAGGTGGAGATTATCACCTGGCTAGTGGATGAGAAGCTAACTCCTTCAACTCAGCCTCTCTCTGCCAAGGGAGTTTATATTCCCTGGGGGCTGGCAGTGGAAGGGAAGTGATTTCATAGACTCCTGGCATATCCAAGCTAGAGAGAACACTAAAGATTGGTCCAAACTTTTCATTACACAGATGGGGAAACCGAGGCTCAGAGAAGGCAGTGATTTATCTAAAATAACACAGCTGGTCAATGTGATGAGGCTGTATCAGGCTTTAGGCCAAGGACTTCATTTCTCAGCTGGAATCTCTTTCTCTGCCTGGAGGAGCCCAGGGTCTTGGGGTATGGAAAGTTCTGGAGCTAGGAGAGAGATGAGATGAAGTCTTTCCATTTCATCTGTGTTCATATTAGGGGCAAAGCCAGCACTCGTGGTGGCCCTGCCATCTGTTCTCAGTTCGAGCCCATGGGCCCCTCCCCTGGCATGAGCCTGGGGAGTAAGTGGGGAAGCAGAAATTGACTATGATGGGAAGACTAGGCATTAATACATTTCTAATATGTACCCTTTTTCTTCCCTGAATAATTTGGGATGACTTCTAATAAGACCGCACCCCCCCATACCCTGGTGGGGAGCTGACCCAAAGCTCTGTGACCTCAGCCACGAGACAGAGAAAGGAAGACCTGTCTGATTACTGGTGAATAATCACCTGCCCAAGCTCAGCCCCACAGTGTCCCAGATTTCCTTGTGTCTCACGTGTTCTCATGGAATCCTGAGAGCCAGGCTGAGGGTCTGCCCTGTTCCCAGCGTGTGTTGCACAGCACCTTGCGAGGGGGTCATCACAGGTTGAATTTGGGAGGAGGTAAGGGGGGAAAGGGTCAGAAATAAGGAGGGCATGGTAACCCACTCTAGTATTCTTGCCTGGAGAATCCCATGGACAGAGGAGTCTGGTGGGCCACAGTCCATGGGGTCGCAAAGAGTGGGACATGACTGAAGTGACTTAGCACAAGGAAAAAAGGGCAAAACACCACTTTCTTACCATCTCATTCAAATCCCAGCTGGTCCTTAGAGACACCAAAAGAATGGGTGCCAAGTATGTCCTGCCTCCCCCTTTGTGGTCTGACTGTGTGTTGGCAGGAAGTAAAGGATGACTAACCCCAGAGCACACCACAGGTGATGTGCTGATTGGCAGGTGGTGCAGAGCTGGACATGCCCTGGTGTGTCAGATGCCTGGCTTTCTCAGGATGGTGGGTGACGGCCCAGCAGTAGGCAGACAGGAGTCCCCTTGATCACATGGCCTTCTTCCTGTTCCCCGACTCTCTCTCCAGGCCAAGCAGTCCTTAGCCACACTGACCAAGGACGTCCCCAAGCGGCATTCACTCGCCATGCCCGGCGAGACGGTGCTTAATGGCAACCAGGAGTGGGTGGTGCAGGCAGACCTCCCGCTGACCGCAGCCATCCGGCAGAGCCAGCAGACTCTCTACCATTCACACCCCCCCCACCCCGCGGACCGGCAAGGTGAGTCCAGCCCAGCCACAGCTGTGGAGGCATCTCAGGAGGCGAGCATCCTCTTTCCACACTGCAGCTGCTTTTGGAGGGGTAGGGTAACTGAAAAATCAGAATGATGGACCTCAAGTGTAGCTGGATACCAAGGTTCAGACAATATCTGGGTCTGACTCGCTCCATCCCTCAGCTCTGCCTGCCTCCATTTGGCCTCATCTTTAGACTACTTCTTGCTACAAAACACAAAACAGTCGCCAGTAGTTTCTGGCTTGTAGGGCCCCAGCAGCTCTAAAGTCTTAAGAGAAATCTTTCTGTGTATAGTAAATCCCAAAGACGGACTCTGATTGGCCAGCCAGGGTCACATGCCTATATTCAAACCAATCACTGTGTTTAAAGAGTGGTTACATTGATTGGCCAGCCAGGTCATATGCCCACCCCTGGACCAATCACAGTGTCGGACAGTGGACACACTGATCCTCCCCGTCTGGATCACATGGGCGTCCTTTGGTGGAGGAGACAGTAAGAGTTCCTTGATTGACAGCTCCAGATAATCACTGGATGTGTGGGAAGAGCAGAAATAAATGTTAGGGGTGTTTGCTCCAGGCACTGGTGGGGAGAGGGGCTCAGCCTCTGGTCAACATCTAGACCCACCGGCTACAGTACAAGCCCCAAACCTCTCTGCACATCTGCAGCACACTTGGCTCCATTTTTCTGTCCCTCCTGTGAGTGGCACTTATGTGACAGGTGCAGGTCAGAGACAGGCAGCTCGCTCCTGGAGCCTGTGGGTCCTGCTGTAACTTAGCTAGGAACCCAAGCTTCTGACTCCAAAGTCACCCACCCCACCCCACCCCACCCCCACTCCACCTTAGGGCCCCTGGCAGCAAGGAGCGCCTCTCAGTAATGTAGCCCTCACTGCTGAGGCGCTGCCTGCACACCATAGGCCCTCAGTCTTGTCCAGCAGTAAGTGCTTCCTCCATCCAGGGCCAGCGCCAACAGCCAGGAGAGCGATCTGCTGGGGGAACTCTGGTGGGCTTACAGGCATTCAGCTGCTGTTAACTGAGCACCTACTACATGCCAGGTACCACGAGTTCTGGGGTTGGACATGTATAAGACACCCAGAATGCCCACCCTCATCAAGCTGGCATTGTAGGTGTGAAGACAGAAAACACATGTAACTAAATTGACAAAGTATGATTACAGATTTTAGTTCAGGGAGAGAAATCAACAAAAAGCAGGTGTTTTGATGGGGAAAAAAAGACAGTGGGGAGAGCTGATAATTGGGTGGGGAGAGGTTTCTCTCAGGTCAGGCTGAGACTTGAAGGATGAGAATGTGCCCTATGGGCAGCAGGACCAGGGAAGGCTGAGGCAGGAGGGAAAGACTGCCTGTCGGGCACCATCCGAAAGCCGGTGTGACATGAGCTGAGGCTGGTTGGAGGTGGGCAGGGCTGAATCCCTTCGCTTGCAGGAGGACTGCATTTCTACCCCCAGGTAAAATGAGACCGGTTGCCTGGCTCTTACTGCAGTGAGGAGTGGAGGCCATCTGGGAGACTGCCATGGTCTTCTAGGCAAGAGACAGTGGTGACCTGGGTTAGGGTAGTGGTGGGGGGGCTAGAGAGAAGTGGCCAGATTTAAAGCTGTGTTTGGAGGTGCTGCCGCTGATTGGCTGTGGGGTGAGGGAGTGAGAGAGAGAGAGGAGCCAGTGGTGGCTTCAAGGCTTCTTGCTTGAGAAACTGGTATTGACCAGCTGTTAAGATTGCACCAGGTCTAGGTAACATCCAGGCAGCAGGAGCATTGTGAAAAACAATCACCAAGGTGCCTGAAAACTTGGCCTCTTCTCTTCATCCTGGTTAGGAGAGGGCCTGTTGGATCCAGGGACTAGAGATTCTTGCCAGCAGCAGTTCTCTGGTGATGTGTGGGGCTGTGGAATAGAGGGGTGGAGAGCGGAACAAGTCTCTTTTATATGTCTCAGTATTCCCATCTGTATAATGGATTGTACAACCTGCAAGGCAGTGAAGGCACAAACATCCTTTCCCTCCCCCACTCACCAACTGTCCCTGCTTTCCAGCAGTCAGGGTAAGCCCCTGCCACTCCCGGCAGCCCTCTGTCATCTCCGACGCATCTGCCGCTGAAGGCGACCGGTCGTCCACGCCAAGCGACATCAACTCCCCCCGACACCGGACACACTCCCTCTGCAACGTAAGGCCAGCAGCCGCAGGGCCCGGGCCATGGGCCCCACCTGGAAACCTCAGGGGTGGGGGTGGAGGGGTGAAGACCTACCCGCTGTTTCCTCTCGTCCACCCAGGGAGCATTCTGGCGGAGGCATTTCCTGTTCTGTTCTTTCCTTTTGCAAGAAGAGATGGATGTGGGGAGAGAAAGAAATGAGGCCTGTTGGCTCCTTGTGTCCGGGAGGGCGAGGAAAACACAGAGGAAGGCGGGCCTGGGTCAGCCACAGGGGCTGAGCAGCCTGGGCTTACCTGTGGTGGGCTGTCTGAGACCATGGGCGTCTCCTCCCAGACTACCTTCCGAGCTCAGGATCTCACCACCACCATCACTCCCATTTCCCCGTAGAACCAGCTCTTGGTCCTTCATCCTGGAATCAGCCAGACTTTTTTTTTTTTTTTCTAATCTCCAGGAGTTTTTGCATGTTTTGCTTCTGGAGAGGCATCCAGTGAATTTGTTCTAAGTTTGTTTGCTTTGCTTACTTAATCACATGCTTTTTGATTGTATACTGGGTCCCAGCTACCAAGAGGTGCAGGTCAGTAGCCACCTAACTCTTGATGACTGGTGGGGAGACAGGCTTCCCAGGAATGGGGGCGGTGAACAAAGGCATGTGGGTCAAGCGTCTGAGGACAGGAAGCCTCCACATCAAGGCTCGAACATGAAACACTGGGGTCAGGGTATCACATGGTTAATAATCCATGGGGCTCCCCTGCCATGTCCTAAAGACACAGCAGAGTCAGGTCTTCAAATGCACAGGCAAGCTTTCTCAAAAACTCGGTTTATGTTGTTCTATTAACCACTGAGATGGATAATAAAAAAGAAATGAGGTGGATATAGTGGGAGAGGAAGACAGAATAACTGTTACTTGCCAGTGGGGTGATTACCTGGAAAACCTCAAGAGAATAACCTGAAAAGCCATTACACTAATAATGAGAAGTATATATCAGTACTGGTAGAATATCAATTGATAAAAATCAGTAACTTTTCTATATCAGTAATCATAATGGAAGCAATTTTTTTTTCAAATCTACAATAACAATGAAAAGCACTTAATTGCTAAGACTAAACTTGAAATGAGTTGCCTCAGCCTGGTGGTGTAGGTGATAGGACTGCTGGCCAGGGCCTCTCGAAGCCAAGTGAGGATGGGAAGGGGGCCTGAATCCCACTCAGGACTGGGATTCTGTTTTCACTGGGGCTTCACTGAAGCCTTCACTGATTCCTTCCTTCACTGAAGGAAGCAATCTGTTCTGCTCTTGCTCCCAGGAGAGAATTCTGATGATAAAGGCTGTCCTGACAGAACCAAGGCAAGAAAGGTTTGGCCGGTAGAGGGTCCTCTGACATTATTGTTTTTCTGAAGAGTCGCTGCTGAGTTATACCTACAGCCAGCACTGCCATTCATTCTTACTGTGGGCCAGATACCCCGTAGTACCTGAGCACACCTCAAATAAGAAGACCTTCCCAAGGGCCATATTTTGTCTTCCCAGTGGGGTTTTGACAGTCAAAATGCCACTGGGAAATCTACCCTGCAGAAAGTATCCTTTAAAGGCCTCCAGAATTGCATTTGGCTCAAATCTAGCCTTTGGTGCAACTTGGCCTTGGCACATAACCTGCTGCTACAGAGAGCAGGTCTGGCATGTTTATTCCCAAGCTCACTTTACACAGGGCCCTGCTGCTAGGCAATGGGTGCTTTGATAAGCCAGTCTGTATGTAGATATTTCATTGGGCTCCAGCCTCATTCTCTCACCCATAAATTTGGCAAAGATGGCTCTATACAGAACCAACCTACCTTAGCTGCCTGGCAGATAGATAGATTCTGTTTGCAAACCTTGAGATGGGACCAGATAGATAGATTCTGTTTGCAAACCTTGAGATGGGACCAAAGACTAAACTACTGTTTGTTCCATCCCTGCCCTCCCTCAACCACCTCCATCCCCCATCTCAACAGATGTGCATACAGGTAAGCCAGAAGAACCTGAAAATAGCTCCAGGTATAGCTCTGTTCTCAGGCATTTGACCTGATACCTGCAAGAACAGCCTGGCCTGGCATAAGCAACCCCCATCCTTTCATGCTTTGGTCACTTATTTAGAGCAGAGGTGGGGACTCAGCACAGAGAGGCTGGAGAAGATGGACATTGACTCAGGTGACACATACTTTGTTTCTTGCCTTTTACCAGCAATTCTGGAAATGACCACCAGGAGTCACCCTAGTAATGACTTTTGTGATCCCAGTGATCTATGCCCCAACCCCAAGCAGGGCAGATTGATTCTGGGATATAGTGAGGGCTTTTGCACACTCAGAGGAAGGAGCACTAGACCAAGAAAAAACAGATGGTCTTGAATTTGAGTTGTAGCTCTGGTTTTAATTAGCTTTATAATGTTAGACTGTTTGGAACCTCTCTGTGTATCTGTAAATCAGGTTAATGAGCCCTGTCTGCCCCTCCACACAATAAGACATTTATTGTGTTATTTGTGAGGGAAATATTACTAAGAGGCTGCATAGTCTCACAAGTATTCCTGTCCCAAAATTCTTTATTTTTGTGCTTTTCTGTAAAGTTATACCTCTTTATGAAAAGCATCAAGTGTAACCAACTTCCAGTTTTAACTCAGTGGGTCAATTAGGAGAGGAACTTTGAAGCCTTTGAGTGACAGATTTGTTGGTCAGAGGGTAATAGGGGTCAAGAAGCCAGAACGGGCAGAAGATCACCTCAGGGCCTCTGGCCAGGATCCCTGGTCCAGGCAGCATCTCCATGAACCCAAGGTGCCATGACTGAGCCACTGGGACGTGTCTACTTTAGGGGTGGAGGGTGGATTCCCCAGAGGCAGGGCAGTCCCTCAGGGCTGACTTCCTTCCATGGAAAAGCCCGTGCTCCACGGGCCACCTCTTTTGTCATATGTTGTGTGTCTCCGCTGTTTCATCTTCCTCCTTTCCTTTGGCTACAGGGCGACAGTCCCGGCCCAGTTCAGAAGAACCTGCACAACCCCATTGTACAGGTAGGTGTGCCTTCCCTGGCCACGCAGGCCCTCCCTGGGCCCTTCCTTGGCCATGACTTCACTTGTTCCCCTGGGCCCTCAGCATTCCCACATCCATACTTGGGCACCCAGGGCAGAGAGGAGTTAAGCCACAATCTCAGTCACATGTGGGTTGGTGCATGAGCTGGGCTCAGCACCTGGATTTGCCCTGTTACCTCCTCTTCTGGGTCTGTGGACCTACTAAGAGCATCCCACATCCTCCATATGACCCTGTTGAGTGTCTTCTGGCAGCCACAGGCTGGTGACGGGGGCCTTGGGCTCTTTGGACCTCTTGCTACGGGAAACTTTTTAAAATTCATTTTTAACATTTCAGTACACTATCTTAAGAGCGAGGAAGGGGCTGTAGGGAGGAAAACATGGATTTGAGGATCAGAGGGGTTCTCCGAGGTCAGCTCTCTCATCTTAGGGTTCCCACATGCTGGTCTTCTGGACTGCTTGTCTGCATCAGGGTCTGGCAGTGAAGATTTTTCTATTGCAGATTCCTAGGCCCTTCACCCTGGAGATTCTAATCTGCCAGATTGGGGTGTGGGGAAGGTGGCTGGAATTAAGGTAATTCTGATGTGGTTTGAGGAACCATTACTCTAACCTCCACCTTTTTGACCAATAACACCACCCTGCATCTTGGTATAAAATACTTGACAGTTTGCAAAGCTGCAAACCCATAGTTATCCTGAGAGAAAGAGCTCCTCCTTCTCCTCATCATTGTTTTTGTCATTATTAACAATCCCTGCGTCACAAGATGAGAAAACTAGGCTCAGAGAAGGTGGGGGCTCTCCAGGTTTCCCCGGGTAATGACATAATCAAGATCAGAACCCAACCCTGGCCTCCCAGCTCTACTGAGGCCAGTACTGCTTCCTGTCAGTACTGTACTTGTCAGTACAAGTATAGTACTTGTCAGACCTGGGAACCTTAAGGTCCAGGGTCCTTGCTCTTGGCTGACATGAAGCTCTGGTTTTCTCCTCCCTGGTTGTCCGTGTTCTCCTAACGCCCCCTTTTCCATAAGGGCTCCTCTCATGGGCCCTGTGGCCAGCCGTGGCAGCATGCATGGGCACGCTTCTGCAAGCCCTCTACAAGCACAGGAAGGCCGTGGACAGGCACTGAATTTAAATACAGCAGCTGTTATGAATGCTTATTATATGCCAAGCGCTGTTCTAAGCATTTTTTTATCTTCACTTTAGTGACATCCTCATGACAGTTTTGGATGGGTCCTAGTGTTGTCCCCAAGAGGTTCTGTAACAGGCCCAAGTCCGCTCAGTGAGTGAGGGGCAGACCCTAGCATCTCTACCCACGGATGCCCCCCAACCCTGCCTGCCCACCCCCACCCCCACCCCTCCCTGTCTTCCACCCCAGCTCAGCTTTTCTTTGTTCTTCTCCCCGCCGCATCCATCATCTGGCCCGACTCCACAGTCACTAGAGGATCTTGAAGACCAAAAACGGAAAAAGAAGAAAGAGAAGATGGGATTCGGCTCCATCTCACGTGTCTTCGCCAGAGGGAAGCAGCGGAAGTCCCTCGACCCCGGCCTCTTTGATGGTACCGCCCCTGATTATTACATAGAGGAGGACGCGGACTGGTGATACCCGCCTCCCCTTCGCCTGCTGCCCAGCGGGCGTGTCTGTGCGTGTGGACGTGCGTGCGAGCGGGGGGTGTGCGGCTGGGCGTGCATGGCGGTGCGTGTGTGCGCGATCTCGCGCGTATGTGGGCGTGGGTGTGGCCGAGCCTGCTCACGTGGGCCCCTCTCCTGCGTCGTCACCTCTGTAATTGATGTACATACTACAACCGTGTGTGAACATGTCAACTCTCTGTTGTCCTTGGAGCGATACAGTTGTGTTGTTAATCTGGGTTTGTTTTTGTTTTTTTCAATGTTTTTTTTTTTTTTCTTTTTGTTCGGTTCGTTGGGGGATTTTTTTGGTCCCTTTCCCTCCCCGCCTCCTTTTTATGAAACTTGAAAACTTGAAGGACTGCTGTGTATTTGTAAATAACAAAACTATTGTGCCCTCTGTGCTTGTAAATGTCCCTCGTCCAAACTGCTACTTCTGGAGCCCGTCTCCCTGAGGATGTGGTCTGTTTTTGATGTTTCCCCCCTACCACCACCCCACTCTGCCTCCCCCCTCCAGTGTGAACGCGTGGGACCAGACCCTGTTCTCGGGCACGCCCAAGTCACTTTAACCCCAAAAGGCCATCGTCATCAGGGTAAGGTCCACTCTCCGCAGAGACTTGCAAGCCCGGCCAAGGGGCCCTGTCCTGGCTGGGCTTGTCAGAGGCCAAACGGGCTCTTTTTAATGCCCTGCCAGTTTTTAAATTGCGTTGCCGTTTCTTTCTTTACGGGGAAAAGAAAATTGTTCCGTTTAATTTATTTGCACAAATGCAGAAGACTTATTCTAGCTAAATTATTACATAAATATTGGAATGTATATTTTTCCACGGGGGCGGGCGGGAGGCGGGTTCTCTGTTGACTTGTCTGTTCTATGATCATGCTGCTGCCAAACTGTGCAAGGTAGAGTTTAGGGTGGCCAGAACCCAGGGACCATTGGATTTCCAAGCTTGCTTTTTTTCTGTTCTTTCTTTTCTCTCCCCCATTGTCCCGCCCCTGCATGGAAAGTGTGCTCTGCCTTTCTCACACCTAGAGCTCTCTCCAGGCCTTTCTATACATATTTATTTATCTGAAACACAGAGCACTGACCTCAGTGAGCAGAGCGCCTGATGTCGTGGTCACCTTCTCTTGGGTCTGTCTTTGGAGAGAGGCTGAATACAGGGCAAGACAGCCAACTGCATGACCACAGGGTAGGACCCCAGGGACACTCGGCCCAAGTGGGTTCCCCAGGGGTCCTGGAGCGGCCCCCACCCCTCCCTGCAGCTGTGTCTCTCTCATCCTTGGTTAATTCTGCACATTGGCCAAGCAGGTGTCATGGGGGAGGCACCCATCTCAAGGGGGAGGGCTGTTGGAGACACAGCATCCAGCACCTCTGCCCTCCCTATTCTGGTTGGTTCCTCCACCCACAACTCACAGAGTCTCTTGGGATTCCTCAGGCCCTGTCCTCCAACTTGTCACAGCAGCTTGAGCGCACTCACCCCAGGAGAGAAGGGCTGGCAGAAATGCCTGCCTATTTGGGGAGCAGTGTTGGTCCCAGTGAGACTTCACCAGCAAAGGAACTGTGAGCATTGTAAGGCCGGGTGATGGAGAACATGTGAGCTTCTAAGCCAGGATCTCCCATGGCCTAAAACTAGCCTTTCCTGTTCTTCTGACCTGTGAATTCCCACTCTGAACCACCTTAACTACTAACAGCTCAATTCACACACCCTCTAAACAACAGTAGTTGCGCTTTCTGCTAACCGTAATGTTTGCAGCTCTTACCAAGAAACAAAGAGATTTTTAAATGCTGAAGCATCTCTTATCAGAAGGGATAGGATATTTTCTCCAAAGTCTCTAAAACAGAAAAGCCCCAGTCGACTGCTCCCTTTCCTTCTGACCTGATGGGGGTTGGAAAAGGTACCTAAAGTAGGCAGGGTACCTACTAAGGATCTTTCTGGGCTCTGTTGGCTGAGCCATTTCACCGAGCCTGGCGGTGAGGGAGAGCAGCTGGAGCGAGAGAGATTTTAGGAAATGCTTTTCTCCTCCCATGGATTTTTTTTTTCCTTTTGGTTGATTTTTATTGTTTTCCCCTTTACTTACAAGAAAATAAGGTTGCAACCCCTCCTGGTAATAATGATTTAGTAGTTCCTTTTCATTTCAGTTTTTGTAAATTAGGAGATAATTCTAAGAGTTACTAAGGATGATTTATTTAAGAGAACTACGTCAAATAGCGAATGAGTTATGGGTAACATTAGATGAAAATAACCTTTCCCGTGGGAAAGGTTTCTTGAAGGCATGGATGCAAATATAAAATATTAAAAAAAAAATCTAAATAAAGCTTATTTTAAAATATGATCGAATTCTATGTTATTTGATTGCTTCTATCTTACTCCGGGTGGGAGGCAAAGCCCGGCATGACCTGCCCCTTGGACTTTCAGGGCTGGGTCCTGTGGGGGTGATGGGAGGGGCCGAGGAAAGCTGGCTGGATTCTGGGCCCATAGAGGGGCTGAGGCTGGGGTGGCCTCCCAGAAACATCTCATCTTTGCCACCCTGACTGTAATTTGGAGGAGCCATCAGCATCCAGGGCTGCCCGTGGTCCTAAGGCACCACCTCCAAGCCTGGTGCCCTGACCCTTCATTCTCCAGCCCAATGACCCCAGTCAGCTTTCATCTGCTTCCTTCTCCCCCCAGCGCTCCTTCAAAAGACCCACATCGGGGCCCTGTGAGTTTGGGGCACATTACTTCCTGCAGACCTCAGTGGGCCTCTGCATTGTCCAGACTTCCTGCCTTCCCTGGGGACTGAGAGGAGCTTGAGAGAGAAATTAAAGGAGCCACAGGGCTTCCCTAATGAAGCCAGAGTGGGCTGGGCTTTTCTGAGCCCTGTGAGACCGCCCCCAGATGCAAAACCCAGTCCTCCCGCAATGAAAACTCCACAGTATAGCCTGAGAAGAGGCCACCTGGATACCCCAATCCACAATCGCAGCTGTGCCTTCAGCCTCTGCCTCCCAACTTAAAAACAAATCCTCTCCAGCAGTAAGACTGGAAGACTAGCCTTTTTAACCCCCTTGCATTTCTACTAGAAGAAAGCTCAAAGTGCCATAAATGTATAGACCATGCCGAGAAGTTACAGACTGCAGGACTGCCAGGAACTGAGGGGTGTGTGCCCCAGTAGCTGTCAACCTGGCCACACATTAGAATCACCTGCAGAGCTTTCAGAACAAAAAATGACCAATGCCAGGTGCTGTATTGCTGAATCAGTGTGGTAAAACCTCCTCTGGTACAGCCAGGGTTGAGAACCACTGGGCTTATCTGAGGAGCATGAATGGCCCGAACACTCGTGCCACAGCTCCTCTTTCCCTGGTCTCAAAACAGACATCACTGAACAATTAAAGAGCCCTTCCCACCCAGCCCCAAATGGCCTCTCACGTCTTCACTTTACAAAGCCTCCGACAGTCACTGCCAATCAATCAGCGTTGGCATTCAAAGAGAAAGCCAATTTGCCTTCCCAAAACTAACCCAACCCCCTACACTGAACAGATGAGGGAAAGCTTTGACCCAGAAAGGAGTGATCTGGTGAAGATCCTTGCCATCGGTGTTGCAATACCATGGCCTTCTCAAGGGCCAGGCCACACCTGATTCAAATCCACATAGCTCTACTCAAAAGCCACACTCCCTTCCTTTGTTAATCTCCAGACCTTGCCCCAAAGGGTCCAACTTCAAGTGTCACTATATTAGTCAGAAGTTGGAGTAGGGCTGCCCTGTCTGCAGGATCCATGGACAGCTGCACAGGTTGTGCACTGCATTAACCACTGTGTGGAGCCTGCATGGCTGTCCACAGTGGCCCCTGCGTGCTCTCCCACCCATGCTGGCAGGCTCCAACAGGCATAACCTAATAGTAGTGATAACAATAATAACATCTAACATTTGTTGGGAACTTACCACGGGCCAAGCTCCATGCTCCGCGCTTGACATGTATTAACTCAGTTAACCCTCCAAAGGCCCCATTGGCAATGGGAAAACAGGCAAAGTACGTCATCCAGGATCAAGGAGCCAGGAAACAGAACTGGGCTTCCAACCTAGCAAGGCTGTAGTGCCCTGAAAGACTCCTTCGAGTGGGCAGTGAGGGGCTGGAACCAAGTTCAGTGGGTGCCTCCAGTCCCTCTGCTGGGCCTGGTTTGAACTTGACTGCACCCCTACTTTCACCCACCAGTAGCCTCTGGCACAGCCTAGCACTTTCCTGGCTTTTGTGACGGAGTCTATTTCTGTTAGTCTTTTTCTGCCAGGCTCAGAAAAGGCACTTGCAGAGAGAGACTGGAGGAGAGGGCAGGGCAGAAACGCACTGTGGTTCAGCATGAGCTCTCCATCTCAGGCAGGGGATGGCCTCCATCTGCCCTGCTATGAAACCCCTCTTGGTACCAGAGCTGCCGCTTCCTGGTGGGGACAAGGTGGTGGGGCAGAGGGGAGGCCCCCTCCTGGCTACAGGAAGGCCCGGGGGTCCCAGGAGCCTCTCCCAACAACTGTGCGCAAGGTTATTGGGCAGCTGCTATGTGCATCACTCAACCTGGGCTCCTGGGGAATCCAGGTGTAGTGGGGCTGCAGGAGATGGCATCATCAGGCCTGTGACTATATGAGTTCAAAAGCATCAACGGGCCTTCTCATCAAAAACCTGCGTTTCCTCCCAAACACCCTACCCCCTCGCTCATCTGCTCTGAACAAACGATTCAAGCTTTTTCAACTCAAACCCCATCAGGTGGGGCAGAACCTGCCATGCCGCCTGACTTCCCACCTGTGCCCAAGGAAAAAGAACCTGGTACTAATGAAGAACCAGGTGGGAATATATATGATTAACTTTATAAGAGGATGCTGATGTGCTCAGTCGTGGCCGACTTTTTGCAACCCCATGGACTGTAGCCCACCAGGCTCCTCTGTCCATGGAGTTTTCCAGGCAAGAATACTGGAGT